CTTCAGTTCACTTCCTTATTTTTAAGTTAATAAACTACAAAAGCTGTTTTCAGTGCATTCTTTTTAAGAAAGATTTCTTTAGCTGACATTGGCAATAGACTTTTCTTTCATTCACCTGTTTAGCGGAGGCTTCATCTTGTTTTTCATGTCAGCGCAGCGTTCAGTGGTTTGAAGGTCTGCACTGGAGTAAGGTTAGGTTAGCAATTACATTTTTTTTAAGAATCATTCTGTTGTGGTGTCACTGAATATGGGAAGGCATTTTTTGCTGATATATAGATGACCTTCATCTAAAAAAAGGCTTTATGTACTGGGTAATATGGAGAAAATTGTCATTTTCTCCATATTCTCTTAATATTTAAAGAAAATGGTGTACTCTAAATTATGAATACCTCAAACTCATTGTAGTTTTACTTTGAGACACATTATACTTTAAGTGTTAAATTATTTACATATTTTATTTTTACCCCTGAAAGCCTCTGTGGTGCTCTACTTATCTTGTTACCAACTTCGTTTGCAACTTCGGCTGGTTGGCGGCTGTTTTGTTTTTTAATAATGCAACTTTCCTCTAACGGTATTTTATTAATCTCTTCTGTGTAAAATTTGTGCTATCAAAGTAGATGTTTGAAAATCGTCGCTTTCTGTTTTTGCACGTAGGAAGAACGAACCCCTTAAACCCACATGAGAAAGTGACGTGTTGCAGTTTAAGAGACGTCTGCCTGTCCTTCCTTTCCATCTTTCTGTTTAATTTTTTCCTTTAGTTTTTTCTGGTCTCTCATTCTTTTTTTTCCTCCCCCGCGTTTTGCCTATTTTTTGCGTCGATCTTTGCGTGCTTGGGGTTTTTCGGGTATCGTCTGTTGCAGAGGAAGTACATTTTTTTTGTTCTCTTAGCCCATTATTGTTCTTTTCCCCTTGATTTGTAGTTTTCTTGAAGTCCTAGTTTGGGTCCATGGTGTTTATTATTCACCTTTCCTCTGCCTAACTGTCTGCTCCCTTTTACAGCTGTTCCCAATCCCCTGATTTTATCACCTGTTCTCCACTCATTCCTGAATGTCTAAGGATCTATTTACTTTCTGACCTTGCTGCTTCTTTCCGTCTGTTTTACCTTTTTTTTTTTTGCCTTATTCCCCCCCTTAATTTTTTCTTTCTGTGATTTTTTACTTCTTTCTTTGTTCCTCTGGGCTTATCAGGTGCTAATTATTTTTCTCTGAACCTTTGTATCCATATATAAAATGGTCCAACAGCAGCAACAGCCTGGGAGCTCGACTGACTTGAGTTTGGACATTAACTATGCGTTTTCTTTAATTCACACGCTTCGTTTCTGTGTTTGTGTTTCAAATAAACGGTACCAACTTCCGGTGGGGTTTATAGAATTCACCTTATTATACACAATAATCCACCTTTAAAAATGCATCGCACACGAATATGTATGCGTTTCGCGGAGAAGTGGAAAATGTTTCTAAACACTACAAATGTATTCAGAAAGATATTCGGCTCATAAATCACGGCTCGCCGAGCGCACTGTGTTATGTTTACTCTTTAACGATCAACACGTTTGTAATAAAAGCTCCGAAATGAATAATCACGGCCCCCCGCTCTCATTGGGTGTCAAACGAAAACCCAAATTCATGATGCATAATGCCCTGAGTGCATCTCTTGGACACTTAAACGCATCTTTGAAGAGCACACATTTATCGATCCTGACACGATAACTCGATTGAGTGCTAAGTAGACTCTAAACGCAAAGGGAATCCATTTAGAAACACTCTTGCACATTTGAACAAAGTGATGATGAGGCATTATGTGAGTCTGCATACCAATCTCTCCGTGACCAGACGAGCCATTTTCATCTGTATGTAAATGCTGAATATGTAAATAAGGCCAAGCCGCGCCGGAGGAGCCGATAGCTGTTGGGCTCGGATTTATCACTCGCAGCGTTTGATCCACTGATCTCGTGGCGCACACTTTGCATCGGATTTCTTTCTTTTTTTTTTTTTTTTTACAACACGTCGGCTCTGAAGACGGGACACAGTCGCATAATAGGCAATATTTCCCCTTTTCATTCATTCACTCAGAGCTGGGTCAGGGCTTCCAGCTTGCTAGATTGGATGAAAGTGGAGCCAGGCAGAGCAAATGCTTTCTAACAACAATGAAATCGAGGTGATGTGTTTTCTCACGTATCTCCTCATTCCCTAATGCAGTGATGCCGCATTCATTTGGGGTAACTTTAATCTTGTTCTGGAAAATTCCATTAATCTGCAGCATTGCTTGCAATACAAAGAAGAAGATAAAAAAAAAAAGAAAAAAGAGAAAGAGGGAAAAAAAAAACGCTGAGCGTTGGAAAAACCACTGATGCCATATTTTACATCCTCACACCAAGTGGCCTGTGTGCAGAACATGCATGTATTCCCCTGCATAATCACAAAGTCAATTAATAAAAAAAAATTAAATAAATCCTCCTGTGTGTGTGAAGTGCGAGTTACCGGTGCTGCCTTTAAGATGGCTTGTCAAAGGAATCGAATCAAACGTGCGGACAGAAATGTTGTCCTTGCCGTATATAGATTATTTATCAATCTGACCGTACACGGTGATGCGCGGCTGCTTTTCGAGTCTGTTCACATACGCAGTAACCTCACATCAGCTCTACCAGCTGGCCATGGTCTGTTTTTCAGCACAGAGGGTGAATGACTGCCAAAAAAATAACACATTGCAGCTGACATTACCTGTCAGTCTGAATTGCACGTATACCGTTAATATTGAATTTAGGGTGCAAAATGTAGTAAAAATAATGAGCCGTGATTTGTTTGAGCCCTTCTGTATAATGCGGTATTACATATTTTATAAGTTAATAGAGATTTTATGATTTAAAAACTTGCTTTATTCCTCTTGTGCTGAATTTGTGTGTGTGTGTGTGTGTTGCCTGCGCTACTGCTTTTGCTCTGCTGAACCGTAGCTGGTTTATTATTTATGCAAGATGATTGTTAAACACTGTGAAATGCAGGTGTGGCCTGTTTCAGACGGTGCTTTTGATTGGTTTTGCTGCATTTTTGAAGTGAATTTAGTCCGGAAAGCTCTGATAATCTTTTTTCTTTTTTCTTTTTTTGTCAAGCGACGAAATGAAAGCACCAGATTACTGCCCAGGTTCTGAGCAATTCATGTATAATGTTTATTCCAGGTACATTTTAGTGCCAGCGTACTTGCATATGTGCTAAGAGTGAGCCGAGTCAGAAGTTGAATTTATGGTAATTCAAAGGGGGAAGGTGGATGTATTACGTAATTTCCAGGCACATAATGCCACTTATAACACAGTCAAGTTAATATTTCACTTTTAGCTGTTGTGAAAATCCTATATGACAAATAAAAGATAAATCTGACCTCAGAATTTGATGCTTTGAAACTGGCCTCTGTCTCTTTAAGAAACTCCTGCCCTTTCCGACAGTCCTGCTTCTCCACAACGTCATTTACAAACATTCTTAGGAACGTTGGGCTGGATGTAGATGTGCAGTTCCACCAGCTGTTTGCTAACTGCTGCTGCCGCTAGTCTGGAGGAGTGGGGACGAGGGGCGCTCAGTGGGGCGAAAGCTCGCGTGGAGAGTGCAGCTCCACAGAGGAGCTTTGTGGAAATAGGCGGCGCTTCGTGATAGCAAGCGTCTAGGTACGGATGACTGCCACCAGGGATGCCTCCCCCTTTGTGCACCACAATCTGGTTTGGAAATACAAGTTGACAGACTAAAATAAATCAGTTTTCTAATGCTGCATCTCTCCCACTCAGTGTAGATCAAGATTTGCACCGATTGCTCCTCGGCCTTATTGTGATTTAACTACAGGGGATTTGGTGTTGGCTTGCAGAGGTTTCTCCTCTATCTACCCGATCAGGCGTCGGTTTGCATTTCTTCTAAGTTAAAAGAAATGTTAATGGAAAGAATAAGTAAATTACCAAATGAACAATCTAAAACTTATGTGAATGTAATTGGAGAACTTGTATGGGCAATCTGGACATAAAAAAAAAAAGTAAATTAAGGCCTTAGATTGATTTTGCTAGATGGATTTTCTGAGCCTGCAGAAACCTGTTTCAGCTGTTTGGAGCATTAGAAAGGCTACAGAAGACGTTGATTTCCATTGTGCTACATTTCAATTATTCCATCCAGATATTTCCGATGTTTTGGGCTCAAATCACAAAAATCGGCGTGAAACTAAAGTCTCAGTGCTTACAACTGGGGGCTGCAAGAGGCTAAACAGAGCTTATGCAGTCTCAAGGACAGGAAATGAAACTCGCTACCCTTTTAAATAAAAGCAGGGTTTTCAAAATAAGAGCAACAATCGGAACATTCACTGCATGTTTAATGTAGGCTGGATGAGTGTCGGTTTAGGGTTGGATGTGATCTGTGGTCTGTACGATACTAAGGTCTGATGTAAGGCGCTGCATCGCTGCCCTGAGCATTTACCTCGGGTCCCTCCCTGAAGCCCTCCCACCTTGACTCTCTCTTTCACGAAGACGGTGGCCTGGCATCTATAAAGACTCTGCATGAAAACATTTAAAGACGTATGTAATAAAGCTGTAACATATGACTCCATAAAATGTTAATAATTCAGCTCACGCATCCATAACAGCCCTTTAAATCCCTGGCTGCTTGTGTGAAACTGTTAGTGCTAACAAAGGAGATTGAAGAAATGCAGGGACTCTCGCTTTTCTGTTAAGCAGGAAAAAAAAAACAACAACCATAAGATCTGTGTCTTTTTGCTGATTCCGTCTCTAACAATGATCTTAATCTCCTTTGAGGACGTTCCCTATTTCCGCCCCTCGCTCTCGCTCCTCCATTTTGCAGTCATTTGCATGGGCAGAAAAGGAGTGTGTACAGAACACATTTCAGTGCCTGGTTCCTCTCATTAAGTCACCTGTCACTTCAGGACCATTATAGCAGCCTCGCATTAGCGTTCCCTCTCTCCTCCCCAATAAAACACCTTGTTCCGAATTGAAAGGAGGGTGTGTGTGTGTGTTAAGGGGGGTGGGGGGTGAGCCTACAGGCGAATGGCAGCCTACACATCTCACATTAACCACTTGTGTTTTACACCGCGGTTCGTCGCATCTCTCATAATGGTTTGCTGATTTTCATAATGTGCACAGTACACACAATGCCAACTGGTGTAATGTATTCCTCTGAACATGAAAATAACACCCATCTCACTCCATAATCAAACGCACCAAATGTTCTCGCCGACTGTCGTGCTCTGCGCAAAAGAAAACAGAAAAAAAAAAAGAGAGAGAGAGAGAGTGAAAATCCTCTGCTTCGTCTGCCAGAGGCGTGCTAACTTACCCAATCACGAGAGGACTAAATCAAGAATGCATTTGTTATCTCTTGGGCACAGAAACAGTCAAAGGCCCTCCAGATTGTTCCTGTACATTTCAATTAGATTTGACATGTGCTAAAGAGTTTGGACTTCAAAAAGCTGCACTGCGCACCGCGCCGAACCACCACGTCAGGGCGCCGCGCCGTGTGCTTGCTTTGAATGCCGCGAGGCTGAGGTGTCAAAACTGGCAAGCATGATAATGGTTATACTTCTGGTGGTTTATGGGCCCTACAGTGACCCTTGTGTGTGTTAACCTTGCTTCCTTCTGCCTTATAAATCCTATCCTGAGCGTTTTATTGGGCCCCGCTCGTCAAGCCTTTCAAGTTGGATTCGGTGGGTGGGGCTGCAGCACTGACGACGCGGCGATAAATTCGCCTTCTGATGAGTGCAATGTGCAAGCGTCGCGACGCAGGATAGCGCGCTTGCTCGGTGCCACAAGTGATTGCTCCTTTTTTTTACATTATCACTACGCTGGAAAAAAAAAATTGCATGTTAATTAAAAGTGACATTGAAACTGCACCGTTTTATTGTCCCTTCATAAATAGTAATGTGTAGTGGGAGGTGTGATAAATATGATGCCAAGTCCCTGAATTTAAAGTAAATAGAAGTGGAAATAAATCACTTTTTTTTTTTAAGGTATTGAAGAGAAAAGTGTGAGTTCAGAATTAAAACCAAATTAGAACTACTTTAGTTCCTTAAGTTTGATTGCTTTAACTGCTGTAGATTTTTAACATCTACGTCTAGGACGAGGTTTAGTATCATGTTTTAAGGTATAAGGCTTTAAAGGATCCACAAAATAATAATTCTGTCACGATATTCTTGCAGGATTGAGCTGTTTTCAATGGCTTGTCAGAGACAATGGAGGAATCATGAAAAGTCCAAAAGAGAAACCCGAATCTTGGTTATGAAAAAAGGTGAAACCGCCTTGAAATATTCAAGAGGTAATGTGCCTCATAGTGGAACAATTATCTTAAAGTAACTTTTCATTAATTTACAAGAGTGTTATCTGATTTGGATTTGTGTGTACCTGTGTATGCAGCTTAAAGGGAGCCGCGGTCAGTTGAAACAGCAGACTTTATTTGAGATGCCAAAACAACACAGTAAACATACCGTAGGCCATGTTGTTTATACTGCAATGCATTCTGGGTAGGCAATGTAAGCTCCGTCCAGCCAGAAAAGTAATAAGTAAGTTTCCCTTCTTTCAGATTGGACCAGAGCACACTGAAGTAGAAGGAGACGCAGAAACGACGAGGGGAAACGAAAATGAGGAGGACCGAAAGGGTGAAGAGGAGAGATTCGGCTGAAAGTGCTAGCGTTTGTGCAGCTGCTGCTTAGAGCTCTGGTTTTTAAGTGAAGCTGTTTACAGTAAGCATCGAGACCAAGAGATTTTCTCAAACATGTTGGAATGGTGTGAAGCGAAGACATAAAGACGCTACGCTGCCACTTTAAATTCGTTATTTTCCTATTTGATTTCATTTCGTGTTCGCTTTTGCTATCGATGCTAGCTCCAGCTAACAGATCACAAGCCAATCACATTAGTTTGTTCAGCAGATGTCTGGTGTATGAAAACTTTGAGACAGTTTGTCTCGATCCAGACGTTTTGTGGGCTTTCTTCGTCAGCCTTCATGACCTTGACTTCTTGTTTGACTTATAGGTTTGAGTCCTCTGTAACCTACCCATGTCGTCGGCCCAGCATGCATTGCATCGGTGAAAAACACTGTGATCTCCGAAGGTGAAAAACCTAAGATATACAATTTCTGAAGTAATTAAGTGTTTTTATGTATACAAACAACTTTTAAGGTAAATAGGAAGATGACAACATATTTAGGGCAACGTGTTCAACTAGTTGTGGATCCCTTTGAAACACTTGAGTTGTTTCACCACTAGTACAGCGCCCCTTGAGTTTTCTCTATTTTTATCACAAACTTCAGTGTATTTTATTGTGCAGTCATCAAACACCAACATAAAATAATCCATAATAGTGAATTACAATGAAAATAATGCATGGATTTTTTATTTTTTATTTTATTTTGCAAAAGAACCAACCATCCACTGAATTGCATGTTGCTGAGGGTACGTCTCCCTGCTTTAAATATCTAGATAATTCATATTTTACCCAATTTTCTTTGAAAAATACTTCCAGTTCAGTCAGATTGGACAGTTAAACAGCGATCTTAGAGTCTAGACACAGATTTCTATAACAAATTATTTACAATTAAAATTTACGTGGTTCACGAAAGGCCCTCTAGTTTCCCTCTGTTAGATACTTTTCCAAAGCATGCCTGTCAGATGGAAGAGTAATGCAGCATGAAAATACATTATTAACCTGCTGTGACGCTTTACTTTCTTTTAAAAACCGTATTATTATTGTATCAGCTAGCTTATTGTGATGGAGTCCATTTACCTTACTATCGTGAGAAGAAGAAACAGCAGAGCAGTGGATAATTAATGGATCAAAATTCTGCGAAGGAGTTCTTATGAGATGAAGAATATCTGCTTTGGACCATCTTAACTGTCCTGTGAGAAACTCGAGCTGATTCTGTTGAACTGAGGCAGTTCATGCTGCTGTTTTCTGCCAATAAGACACTGATTGCTAAAACTGCTGCATCCAACCACATCTAAAAAAAATATCCCCTCAAAGACATCGTTCCATAAGAATCTTATACAAACATCTGCCTAATCTCATTTTATGGCAGTGTGCCGGTGTCATCTCTGCAGAGCTGGATCTGACTCCTGCCACAGAAGTTTAGTCATTAGCATGAACGTAATATTAATTAATTTTTTTTATGATAATTTATGTTAAGCGTTACGCTTTCAGTGAAATCATTATACAGCAAATATCTCCAATCAATTTAAAAGACAAATTCAGCATTTATCTGGCATTCTCTCACTTCCAGTTTGATATTTCCTCTCGCTTCTCATCAAAACTTAATTTAAAGTGGTTGATGTTCTAGCACAAGTCTGACTTATAAGTAGACCAAAACTTCTCCATGTGGTTGAGATTAAGACCACTATCTAAGCTGGAATACCCAGCGGTGTTCGCATTTCAACCGTCTAGTTCGGATCTGAGGGGAAGAGGAAGAAAGAAGCGGTCCTACTTCACTATTCCATTCATTTTCCACAAACCCCAAAGCCAACTTTGATGTGTGTTTGGTCTCCTTCTCCAGCTGTGTCCAGGCTGCAGTCTTCTGTACCCCAAACGCCACCATTGGATTAAAGGAAATGGTTCAGATGTTTTAAAAAAAAAAAAAAGTAGTTTCTTTTTTGTTTGAGGAGACACAGATTTGTCCCCAGTGGCAGGAAAAAATGTTTCAATGATTCAAGGTGATGCATTCAGACCTAAGAGTACTGTATTGACAGCTAAGCTATCAAATTCAATCTAACAGATGGTTCAAAGTTGGGTACGATTGAAGGTTTCAGCAGGACAGTAGTCCAAATCTCATCAAAACTGGTTTTGGTATTGACAAATCAGGCAAGTATTCACCTTCTGCAATCACCTCAACCTCAAATCTGTAAAAAAAAAAAAAAAAAAAGGACTTTGCCTCAAAGCTTGGTTCTTGCCAGGAAACCAACCAATAAGATCAACCAAATGCCAATTGGTTGCCAAGTGATCAAACATCTAATGGTGCAGCACATTTCGAGCGCGACGTGATTTAAACGGTTTGGAGCATTTGACGCGTCCGACTTTGAATGCAAACCAGACGCACCTGGTGCTCAAAACGCGTTTGGTGTGAACGCACCGTAACAGTGATAATGCCAGATGTCTACAAAAGTATGTCATAGACATCCGTCTTCTAGAGACATTTATCCAGGTCTTAGTGGTGGTGTGTGCATGCGTCAGAGAAAATCTACAAGGAATTTGAAATCTGACTACCAAGATCTAGTTCAAAAAACATTCCTTGAAGTAATTTGTTGTATCATCACCCCATAACGGAAGAACTTTTCAAATGCATCACTGAAAGGTTAAAATTAACATCCCGTTTAATTTCATTATGAGAGGATGTGAACTTTTGGCAGACATTATAGACGTAGTGTGGTAGCAGTGTTTAACGATCATTACAGGAAAGATTTCTAGACTCCATGTTCTACTTTTCCATAAACAGAAATAAACATTTGTTCACAGCGATCAACTGCAATTAAAAAAAAAAAAAAAAGCATAACACGAACTTCATTAAAAAAATAAATAAATCAGGGCATTGTCGAGATTTCCCCATTTTCAGAGTAAGCAGATGTGAGACGGAGAGGGGTAGATAAACCGTGTCAGTGTCTCCGTGTGTGTGTGCGTGCGTGTGTGTGTGTGTGTGTGTTTGAGTGTGTTTGAAACAAACATGTTCTTGTCAGAAGCTGAGACCTCTCGTGTCTATCAGCGGCGATGTTTGTGTGGTTCCAGAGGAACGAGCGTGCCGATGTTCCAGAATAAACCCCGTCCTCCCAGTCCTCCTCCCCTGTGGGTTGCGCTTGACTTCCGCCGTTTTCACAGCTGCTCTCAGCAGTGCACTCCATTACACCTTAAATCACTTAAAAAGATCTGAAGCACCGAAAACTCCCTTTGCAGCTAATTCGCCCTGACCGCACGGATCATCCAGGGAAAATAAGAGCATGAAAACACCGCAACATCTGATTCCAGCCTAATAAGCTCCCATGTCTTTAGATTGGGATCCAAACAGCCGGTGTAAAACTACGTCACGACGATGACGACGTCGGCAATGAAGCTTTAGCACGGCTTTTTCAAAGGGCGCCGCAAAGCAAAACACCACAGATACAAATCTCCTATTCTGCACCCAGTCAAGCGTTTTGCTTGAAAATCGGCGCAGATCCGTTTCGACAGAGGCACATTCCTCTTTGTTGGGTATCCAAAAAGCGGCCGCGGAGATTAGGCTCGATAAATAGGGTAGGATAAGTGGGTCTTGTCCTGTGTTTGGT